GGAGCTCCTGAAGAGATTATTATGCCTTCGGTGATACAGTCTTAGTCTCTTTCCTCATGCAGAGAATGTCATCCTTTAAAAATAGCTTAAACACTTTCTTGAACTTCTGCAAAGACTGATGCCCTTTAACAATGGACTTTGTTTTACATAGGAGACAGTCTCAGATTGGTTTACCGTCAGCAACAGTTCTAGTTTTCAGATTCTATGACTCATACAGATAATCTTACCCTGATGGACACGGCTTCACATTAGCGACAGCTTCAGTCTCAACTTTATTGACATCATGCAGAGAATGTTGAACTTTAAAGGACATGCATGATTTCTGTAGCGATAGTCATAGGTTTCTTTCTTGAACCAATGTAGATTCAAAATGGGTGTTCCACGTCTTTTGACGTATTTCTACGCACACCATACTTTTAAACGTAGTATATTTACCATTTTAATTTTTGGCTAAACTCACTCATTATAGCCAGTGACTGAGGGGATGATGTAAATCCAGCTAGGGTCCATGCAGGTAGCAAAAATACTGTACGTTCCCATGGTCCCTAGTATGGTGATTTACCTTCAGTTGACGGTGACCTATAGCCCGTTTGTATTGTCTTGCATTGTAGAAATGTTTTGAGTTACATGCTAGTTTTAAATTTCTATGTGTGATAGCCTAGTTCCTTTACTGTCATCTGTTGACAGATTTTATAAAATAACTTTATTTATTATTAGGTCTTGTTTTAGTCACGATATGGATAAAATATTACCGGTGTGACTCTAAGTTTAACTCACTCACTCAAAATGGATCTGTGTCTATGAACAAGTCAGCGAATCACAGAGATGAGTTCACACTTGAATACATACGCTTGAATGAAGTTTATGGCGTTGAGTAGAGCCAACGTCAGCAATATGTCAACTATATCACGTCAACGTATAAATACATATTGAGACGAACCTAGACTGGTGATAGATATCATGAGCATCGATCGGCTTACGGTAACACGACCAAATCAGCCCCTGAAGCACGGGCTGGAATTGATCTTCAGCAACCATACGCTCGTACTTGTCATGAAACCGGTATCGGGTGGTCTGAGTCGCTGACTTGGTTGAAACATGTCACCGCGTCCGAATGACGTAGATCGATGTTCATGATGTAAGTCACAAGGTTATTTGGTCCCGATTTGTTTACTTACAGTCCGTCTGTCGTCTTATAGATGGAATATTACTGAATGTTGCTTTATAAAATATACACAAACACAAATTACAAGCGTGACCACCTGAGACAATCACATGACTCCCTGGAATCCCACGTGTCACATAAGTCACAGATGGTCATGACTGATGTACAACAAGGACGAGCTGACTCCAAAATTAGAAATTGAGATAATACGGAACTGTATTTTCTTTCTTATTGTCAGGAAAGTACCGCGACTTTCTGGTCGTCAATACCTATGTTGTCGGATCCAGTGTTTAACATCTGCGTGGCACCTTGTCATATGTGATGGATCCCGTGAAGGTCCGATTTAGAATTGGTCTTCAGTAACCCATGCTTGTCGCAAAGGCGACTAACGGAATCTGGTGATCAGGCTCGCTGACTTGGTTGACATATGTCATCGTATCCCAACTGCGTTGATCGATGCTTATGGTCGTGATTGTCACTGGATTGTCTGGTCGAGACTCGATTATTTACAGACCGCCACCACATAGCTGATAGCACGGCGTTAAAGAACAAACAAACAAATAATACTTGGTGGAGACACCTACAAATCAGGGGCCCGATCCACAAAACGTTCGTAAGACTATGATAAACTATAGAGTTACGACAGGTCGTAATGTTACGAACGCGTTGTGGATCGGGACTAAAATCATGCAATCGTACATTCTGCCCGCGGAATCAAACCAGAATCTTCAACTTTACAAAAAAAACGTCTTAGGAGTGAGCCTACCCTCCTGCCAAATCCATTAACGCATGGAGTGATACCAATGCTGATATGTTTTCAGATTTACGCACTGTTCCTGTCAGCTACGTCGCTTGCGGCAGCTGGCGAGTGTCTCATATATGGTGGCTGATTAGGGCAATCGCTTTCTCGCCTTAAAATTCGGAGGGGAGAAAGCGCGATATCACGAGACGGATACTTTGATATGCATTACTAAGTACCATTTTACTTTGATAATTACTGTAGTGTCAGATCAACAAGTGTCAGATCAACGATCCTGTGTCTAAAGAGACAATCAATGCCTTTCATGTTAACACTTCTCAAACAAATGTATATTTGGATAGTATTGGCTTTTGTATAAACCCTTCATAGAACTAGCGTATCTACCAGATCGATGATCAGGAAATGACCAGAGGAACTCAAATCAGACTCAATGTCATTCGTGCCGTGTTAATAACGCCCAAATTGGATTAATCAACCAGTGGAAAGGGAAACGCAGTGACGGACAATGACATCCACGAATCATGTATCTTGCTAATGGTGAAGCTCTGATATATTGCCCGCTGCACGTTTTTGCATCGGAGTGGCAATACGGTCGCTGGCATCATGAATGACCATGAAACATTGGTTGCACTGGATTGGTTGGTTTGTTGTTTAACGCCGCACTCAGCATTATTCCAGCTATATGGCGGTTGTCTGTAAATAATCGAGTCTGGACCACACAATCCAGTGATCAACAGCATAAGCATCGATCTATTGGGATACGATGACATGTGTGAACCACGTCAGCGAGCCTGACAACCTGATCCCATTAGTCGCCTCTTACGCCTCTGTTTTGAATGGCCTTAGAGTGAGTGAGTTTAGTTTTACGCTGATTTTAGCAATATTCCAGCAATATCAAGGCGGGGGACACCACAAGTGGGCTTCACACATAAAACCCATGTGGGAAATCGAACCCGGGTCTTCAGCGTGACGAGCCGCGCTGTAGCCACTAGGCTACCCCACCGCCCCCTTAGACATTGGTCACCCTGGCCTAGTCTGTCTCACAGTCCCTGAACCAAATTATTTTCCCTACTGCCAAGCCCTCTCTGCAGTGCTAAAGCCCTAAATAAAGCAAGTCTAGATTTCCTCAGGTTCAGGAATCTGAATCTCTGGTCTCCCTGGGGCTCCTTTTCAATATAAATGGGCTTGTTTGTTACCATCAAAATTATATATATTCAGAGACTAAGCCTTAGTCTAACCCTGGCCGTACAACCTATGTAAACAAAGGATCCCTACGCAAATCGAAATAGTGTTACATGTTTTAGGATATTTTCTCAGTGAAACTAAACCATTCTATCAAAGATGTTTAATTAGATGTGTAGACTCGTCAAAAATTAAAGAGTTAAGAAATATATAGATTATATCGTCACATCTTTCTGGCCTGTGGCAGAGGTACTATGCTGGCTTGCCGCATGGAACTCTGGGTAGGAGAGTGTCACCGACTAGTGCACGATTGAAGGATATGCCCGAATTGATCATGTGTAAATGAGAAGAACTACCGTAATCTATGGTTATAACGAACTCAAAGGACATCTAATTTTTCTTCGTTATAACAGTAGTTTGATATAGGCATTATTCGACTAAAATACACAGCAAGTGAGGCCCAAGACAGCTCGTTATATCCGTCAGTTGTTTAGCAGTTGTGATACACGTTGTATACTATATCTGCTGAGTCGATTAGTACTTATTGTGTCAAGATTTGTATATGCTGATGCTGATACGCAGAATACAGTAAACTACGTGATAAAAACTCTTATAACGAACTGACATAAATCAAGGACGGATATCACGAACTTTGTTTTGGTGCCGGCCACTTGCATTATATTTTAGTCGAAATGCGTATAAAGAACCTTAGTTATAGCGAACAAACATCTTTAGGTTCGACATAACCGTAGTTTACTATGTTTACTATGATTCCATCAGTAACGCTAACGTCGATTTATATTGGTAAAATGCTCTGGTATTGAGACCTGGCACTTTAAAACCTGCCGGACTTAGAAGGTATACTCACGACTGACGGTGACTCATTGTTAAACAAACAAGATATTGTTATTCAATAGGTAGTATTTGATAACTGTCTCATAGTTGTGATCTGACCACAGGTTTGCAGTGTTTCGTGTTCCCAGACTAGTAACGGTTTCATACCGTTTGTATTTCTGGGTCGAATCCAATTTTCAAGTATATACTTATATTTTGCATTGCAGTTCACTTAATAATCATCCTGCGAACGTCTGATAAAAACAGTAACGTAATCTTTTATAGGAAAGATCTCTTGGTTTTCAAAATTGGTACCTTCTAAAAATATACACAAAGCAGTGCCTGAAATGCCCAGTTTTCACCATCCTCACAAACAGATTTCTGTGAGTATCAAGGGCAAAATAACTGTGAAATATATATTAAATGACCACTAAACATAAGGGCAAGCATGCCCCGCCCTAGTCTCTCTCACAGTCCCTGAACCGCATTATTTTCTCTACCGCCCAGCCCTTTTTGCCAAAAAACCCCAAATGAAGCAAGTCTAGATTTGCTCATTTTCTGAATCTCCTTTTCACTGGTGCTCATGTTCAATTTACCCGTGAAGGTCCTTCAGTAACCCATGCTTGTCGTAAAAGGCTTGGTTGACACATGTCATCGGTTCCCAATTGCGCAGATCGATTCTCATGCTGTTGATCACTGGATTGTCTGGTCCAGACTCGATTATTTACAGACCACCGCCATATAGCTTGAATATTGCTGACTGCGGCGTAAAACTCACTTCACTCATTCATTTTCAATTTAAAAGGAATTATCTGTTTCTATCAAAATGATATATTCAGAGATAAAACGTCAGTCTTGCCTACCGATAGCACCGCCATTCACACTATTTGAATGAACAAGTCAGTATCTAAACCCGACGTCGCACCGTATTCCTGCCTTGTTACGAGTCCTGAAATCAAACCAGACAATTAAGTGATCGATGGACCAGTTAATCCAGCATATTTTGAATTACGACTGTGTAGATGTGCAGAGATTCCGCTGATTAAAGGAAAGAAAACGTATAGGAAAAGAATTGTTTAATACAAAACAGTGTGGGAGAGGGGTCGTCAGTATTAATGCCTCGGACCAAACATTTCTTTACGAGTTCACTCAGCATAGATAAATATATACTACAGAGCTTATGATGGAACTCGGGGGCTTCAGTCAACAAGCAGAAACATCAACTCTGGTCAACTATATTGCATTTTTAAGTTATAAGTGAAAATTATGACGAAGATATTCTAATCTCTACCATGGCTAATATAGGATATAGTACACCATGGGCACTTTTTGACTAATTGCAATGATTGACCCTGGTCAGTGAAGACTGTGAATGCATTCTTACCATTCAATTACTATGAAGAAGTTTATCAGAAACCGTATAACTCCTCATTAGCGCCAATTCCCCACTACAAATATGGGGTTCGAAATATGTCATGCACCACCGGGGATACTGGCGACATAGTGTTAACTTGGTTCGAAGCATGCGTATTAAGAGTTTCATAATCTCTTTAGTTTGAGTGAGTATGGTTTTACGACGCTTAAAGCAATATTCCAGCAATATCACGGCGGGGGTCCAGAACTCCGTCCTTTGAAACGAAGAGTGATGATATGATAATATTAAGGTATTTTAGAGTCGTTGTCACCAAGGGTAAATGTTGGACAACGATGAATGTGACCCCTGAGTAACGAGGATAGTTCCGGACATGGCAAAATGTAGCGACATAGTCAGTGAATTCTCTGAACATGATCACGTGGTAATAGGTATGGACAATATGGAGGACACATGTTAAGGTGTAACATTATGTGAGAAGAAAGCCATACTTTCTAAAAATACCCTTAAATACTGAATATTATTATTCATTATTACAAATAAGTATAGTACTGGAGAATTCGAACTTAGAAAAAAAAATTAAATTAGGTAATAAATTGTGTTTTTTGTATTGGTTAAAGGAGTGAGTGAGTGAGTATGGTTTTACGCCGTTTTTTTAGCAATATTCCAGCAATATCACGGCGGGGGACACCAGAAATGGGCTTCACACATTGTACCCATGTGGGGAATCGAACCCGGGTCTTCGGCGTGACGAGCGAACGCTTTAACCACGAGGCTACCCCACCGCCCCATTGGTTAAAAGAATGGATTTATGTTTGTTAATCGGAGTGATGAGAAAAGAGTGAGTGAGTTAGTTGGTTTGTTGTTTATCGCCACACTCAGCAATATTCCAGCTATATGGCGGCGGTCTGTAAATAATCGAGTTTGGACTAGACAATCCAGTGATCAATATCATGAGCATTGATCTACGCAACTGGGATACGATGACATGTGTCAACCAAGTCAGCGAGCCTGACCATCCGATCACGTTAGTTGCCTCTTACGACAAGCATGGGTTACTGAAGATCAATTCTAACCCGGAAGTAGTATGACATATGACATGTTATACTCTGACAACTGTAACACGTGTATGACAAAATCCTCTGACAATGTGACGGTATGGAAGGTTATTGCACTACAGTGAGGTGTAAGGCCATTTGTTAGGGGAACATGCATGTGCTCATATTTAAATATGTGCATTATTGTGAAACATAATCTCGTGGCTAAACCTTGCGGGATGATATATCACTGTGACGACGTGACACGTGACATACGAATAACGCCTGTATGCAGTCTGAAAGATGGAAGGGTTGGGAGTTCTTCAGAAGAAGACCAACAAATCAAAAAACATGTTCTTCCGAATTGAACAGGTTGTCTTGTTTCAGTTGTATAGAGAACACTTTCTGTAGTCACCCATCATGGCGGACCACACAGTGATTTCACCAACGCAGCCCTATTTATGTAGACGTTGTCATTCGACGCCACATCAGAGGGAAAGACTCCCGTCACTGTTAATAAACACAGACCATATTGTTAATCACACACAGAAACCAGAACCGGATCCCGCTAACGAGCCATCATAAAGCTCCCGTTGGCCTATATCTTGTCACAACACACTACAACACCACCGTCCATCACAACACACTACAACACCACCGTCCATCTCCACTGATTAAACTTCATCGACGGTGTAGGCCGTGTGTCAGCCACAGTGGTCGGGATAAGCTTATGGCTGCACACCCAATCCTTGTCTCAGCCACAATGGCGTGTGGGGAGTACTGATGCTCCAACCACACGCAATCCACAAGTACTTCCAGTATTAAGCTCATACCCGTTAATTCAGACCTAGCTACATCGTGTCCACGAACACTGGCCAGACCGCGAGAACAGAAGGTCAATATCTTGAGGTTTATGGTAGTGTCCGACACACGGAGGTTAGGTTTCATCAACAACAGAGATCACTGTTAGACTATAGTTTTACATACTTAATCTGCCTTGTTTCCACGCTTGGACTTGTATTTGTATCCGAACCCAGCTTCCAAGACCAGCCAGTACATGTATCTCTGCTGATTCACCACCCTGATAAAGATGCTTTCCGGCTGTAAGCCAATACGGTTCCATCGATGTCCATCTGAACGTACTTCATGGCAGTGACGAACGTATCTTGATCCCTTGTGAATATCCGCTAATATCAACGTGTCAGTATGTTCATGCTCGTTTCTAGATATGCTGTTTCTAGATTCCGCGTTCCAGCATTTGACGTATCCAACGTATCAAACCAAGTACTTAGATTTCCATGCACGAAACCATTTTTTAGCGCAAGCAACTTTTCAAATCACGTTCATGCAATGTAGAGATTTCCCATACCGTAATGATTACTAGTACAAAGAATTTTGTGTCTCGACACCACCTTCAGTGTGACATTTCTGATAAGGTGTCGCAATGAAGACATTCATTAGGCTGTTGGGCTAGTGAAGGATATAATGAGGTATAGGATTCAGTATTGCACACTACTGTTATATGTGGTTCTCTATAACAGCTGGTAATTGCCCAGCCTTGGAAACATTCTGAAGCCAGCCTATTCGTGACATTCACCACACTATATCTTGCTGTTATTTGCCACATATTGTATTTTGGCATTACTCTTTGGTTGACGGTTCCACTCTTCCTGAAAACTTCCACTAACTCACCAGGTTCGCGAAGACGCTTAAGAAGGCACAACAGCTGAATGTTTCTACATGCATGCTTTGAAGTCAAGGTATTCACATGTACGAGGTGACTTCACACATGACATAGTATGTACAGATTATTGTCATGCAAACACCTACATGTCAGATGACATGTTCAGCCTCACGACGCCAGAGAATATGCATTAATCGCACGACTTCCAGAACATCACGAAGCGACCTGTCCTTAACACGGACTTGCAACCTTCGCTTTGATGAACCACGCACAGATCAGACAATACGCCGTGAACTCATGACATAGATTTCAGATTCTAGTCATTAATCTCATGAGCGCTAGATTAGCCTCTGTTTATTAATCACGCTGCAAAAGGGTTGGACATTACGAGTTAGACTCCTTAAACTGACAGCTGAGTCCATTTGTGTTTGTCTAATGGCGATGCAGGTGTGTTTATGTGTAATGGTGTCATTTGCATAAGCACCAAGATTTCTTCACAACTGATGCGATTCCTCGACGTTGTCAAATGCCCTATTTTCTGTACCTCTCGATCCATTCATTTCATGAAAATAGATCTGCCTACCTTCCCGACCCCCTCTCGGGACCTCATAAAGTCCAGGAACCCCACCCTTAAAATAATTAGCGTTGGGTTCCGTCAAACGCCTCTGGGACTGAGGGGGAAAGTAAAACACTGCCGGGTTGTCCATTGCGTTTTCATACGACCGCCTTCTCTGGTAGTATCTGGCATCAGGCATTGGGTTGTCATGGTGACGTCGGCCATGTACCCTCGCGTAGTCAGGGGGATGGACCATGTAATCGTTGCTGACTACCGAGGGATGAGTGCTTGCGGCTGCATAAAAGTCGTACGCATCGTCGCCTAATGTTCTCACGATGACGTTGGAGCCGAATGAACTGCGTCTGTAGTTGAAGATCTCCGGCGCTGCCAGGTCACCGTACTGCGAGGCACTACGAGGTCGACTCAACGACGCGGCTGATGTTGATGTGGTCAAGGAGCAAGCCACTGCGGCTGCGCGGTGGGCTGCTATCCGCTCCTTAATCTTCTTCCGATCTCTGAAATGAGGGATACTATTTTTTTTAAACATTTAACGTTTTGAAAAATCAAGTTATTATTCAGACATGTTATAAAAGGACACACCTGTCTCAAACAGTTATCGATGAGTCTGTGGTAAAGAAAATCACAGTGTTCTGACCATGATGATATTTGGATGAGGTTAGTGCGAGTGAGTGATTTAACAATACTTTAATTAACATTTTAATCATATATTGGCGCCTAAGCCATTTTGGGGAGGAAAGCCCGAAGTGACGCAAAAAATAATAGCGCCATAGGACGGCCATGGTACCAACATTATCTGATCGTTTCTTGGAGCAAACCTAAGACCAGCGGATCCTCACATACTTAAGGGACGCAACTCTGTACCGCGAACTGTAGCGCCTTAACCCATACGGATTTCCTTGAGTATCGCAAAATATGACAAGCACTTGCCTTGAAATCTTTGTTAGATAACGTCAGAAAGATACAAGGAGTTTGTGAATGAGTATGAGTTTATGCCGCGGAAAAACTGAACGCGGGTCTTCGGTGCGACGAGGAAACACTTTAACCACAAGCCTTAACATCGTCCCCATTAACGTCTCCGTTACCTTGAGTGAGTGAGTTTTACGCCGCTTTTAGCAATATTCCAACAATATCATGGCGGGGGACACAGAAATGGACTTCACACATTGCAATCGAACCCGGGTTTTCGGCGTGTCGAGAGAACACTTTAACCACTAGGCTACACCAATAGTCCCCGTTACTTTGAGATAGTGTAATAACACAGGGTGGAATCCCTGTCCACACGAAATGTGGAGTTGCCCCAAGAGCAACTCCATTTCCTCGCTGGACAGTGAAAACAGAACACGTGGTGCAAGAGTTATGGTAAGTTTCCCTCGCATTTTCAATATTTTGCAAGTATATCAGGTTTTGCCATTTGGCAGAGGGGTCTAGAAAGTTACAGATCTGTCTGTAATAGCTTGACACCCTCTATATTTATTACAATTGCGCGTTAGGCGAGGGTACCCTCCTGAGTGTCGAAATGCTCGCGGACACGCCGTGATGTAACTGTAATGCTGTTTAACTCAGTCCCCCATACTGCAGGCAATACTATCTATTCACAGCAAACTACGTGAAACTTAAAACAATGAACCCGTGAAGATCCGGGTTAGATTTGATCTGCAACCAATGCTTGTCGTAAGAGGTGACTAACGGGATCGGGTGGTCAGGCTTGCTGACTTGGTTGGCACATGTCACCGTATCCCAATTGCGTAGATCGATGCTCATGCTGTTGATCACTGGATTGTCTGGTCAAACTCGATTATTTACAGACCGCCGCCATATAACTGGAATATTGCTGAGTGCGGCGTAAAACAACAACCAAACTAAACTTGTTCAAGGATCCACTTTAACTTTAAGCAATGCTCTTTTACAAGCGACCAATCAATCGGTGGTATGTCTGATTTGGGGATTCAGTATGCAGTAAAATATGTACTTGGCGAATGTGTCAGCTCATCCAATCACTCAACACAACAGTAGCAGAGACCATTACCAACCACGATGGGGAACACTATCACCAGAGATGGACAAGTATTGACGATTCCCATACTTCATCACTAATTAACCCCTCCCAGCGTGAAACTATGGTCTACCAACCAGTAAATTGGACGCACAATGGGGGATCATCGTCCGGTCGATCAGCACTAACTGGGGGTAAGGGGCTTGGGTGCCTGGGGATGAAGTGGGAATGGAATGGACGGGAGGAAACTGATGCAGCTTCGATATCGAGAATATTCGGAATTGAACTGATACGGGAACATCGCACCGCCCGAGACTCATTTATCCGTTCACTGTCATGAAACGTGCGGGTGAGTGAGGGAAAACTTTCGAAGCCTCTGGATCCATTATATCTGAGACGAAGAAATTGACATACAAATCACCATTATCACGATTATATGTCCTTCCGTATTTTGAAGTCATAAGCCACAAAATATTTAATATTTGTTCAAGTCTTGGAAAATGGGACCTTTCTGAAATCGTACCATGTTGTGCTTGGGATGTTTACATCGAATTAGTCTTGACCTCGATTACCCATTTACTTTTGGAACGTCCGGATACGACTATACTATATGGAAAGTATTTAGATCAATTTAATTCAGATATTTTACTCCGATGCGATAGCCCTCTGCTTTAACATGAGGACACCGACATATCGACAGTTTATACGTCATGTAGAGTTTCGGATCAGCTAATCAGTGTCGAGGCTTCGAAATAGGGACTGTAAGACTCGCGAGGCGCTACTTCCGGTACTAAGCTGGTTCCCGTCTCCCTTTGCGCGAGCCAACTTGCGATATGCGAGACGGGGCCCAGCTCACTTCCGGTACCAGATATTCGGTGACAAGCGTATATTCAAAAACCAGTTCTTGTTTGCGCGAACGCCAAATATGACTTTACTCGACCGGACCAAGTGTACACCCATGTTTGGCCTCTATAACTATTGACTGTTGCAAGGATAATCGGTTCCTCACTGGCAACTATGCGACCATTTGAAAAGGTATGATACGTTGTTTATCACCGGAAGTACTACGGTCTAGCGAAGAGCCGTGACATGCTTACGGGCATGATTATCGGCGGGCGGGCGATTGATTATCGAGCTTAAACGACTTCTCCCGAATGTACATAAGGAAGTTTGTGCCATATATTTGGATTAGACCGTTCCACCTATGCCCTCTCCTATGGAGGTGTCAGAATGTAAAGCATACGCCCACAGGGGAATCGTGTCGAAATATAAGACTGACTGAGTTTTGTTTTACGCCGCTTTTAGCAATATTCCAGCTACACCACGGCGGGGGAACACCAGAAATGGGCTTCACACATTGTACCCATGTGGGGATTCGAACCCGGGTCTTCGGCGTGACGAGCCAACGCTTTAACCACTAGGCTACCCCACCGCCCCCGAAATATAAGATCTATTCTGGTGGAACTGATGGAACTATGGCAGATTCTACTTACTGATTTGAATTGGGACAGATTCTACTTACTATACACAGTTTACCCGTGAACATCCGGGTTAGAATTGGTCTTCAGCAACCAATACCTATAGTAAGATACGTCTAACGGGATCGGGTGGTCAGGCTCGCTGACATGGTTGGCACATGTCATCGTATCCCAACTGCGTAGATCGATGCTCATGCTGTTGATCACTGCATTGTCTGGTCGAGACTTGATTATTTACAAACCGCCGCCATATAGCTGGAATATTGCTGAGTGCGACGTAAACAACAATAAACAAACAAATTATACACCGTTACCTCCCCTATCTCATATCGTGGCAGACACAATCACGCGTTATTGAAATTGTTTTTTAGCTCGAACCTCTTAGAGTCAGAAATCGTGTTGTTTATATACATACATCTATCGGAATGCCTAATCAGCTAAAGCACTATTGTGTATCTCTGATGTTTGACAGTTGCTGTGCTACGTACAAATATTGGTTTGACTTGAGCGTTTGACATGTTGACTTCAAGTAACAACTCACAAATTCTTCTGAAACTATTTACTCTATAATATAATATATAAATGAATACATAAATGAATGTTTGATCTTCCACACTACATTGACACTTAAGTTGATGGCGATTTCAGCTTCGAAATCAACAGTTCGATATTCCCGGGTATGTCATTACCAATAGTCCATGGCTCGGACGGATGGCGTGAGTTATAGACAGAGCTGATTGATTTGTCTGGATTTATATCGGTCTATCAGACAGCGCATTGATTCTTAAGTTTCGAGTAAATACGTTAACTAGATGATGCTTGCAGGTCTTTGTCAGTCGGTCCGTGAGCTTTGAACAGTGTATCAGTTATACCATAGCTTGTCTGCTTAATGTGGGAGGAACTCCCGAAGGAATATGAAACCGACAGGCTTAAGCATGGTGCAGACGGACCAAAAATATATTCGGGACGAACGGGGCTTCGAACCCACAATCAGCTGTCAGGAGTGCCCTTTTTCTGCCTCCCCGCCCTTGGTAAGATCTTTGAAATCGGCTTCTGTCAGTTTCTGCCGCGATTTGAATATTATTCTTGTTTCCTTCTAAAGGGCGACGGGGCGGTGGGGTAGCCTAGTGGTTAAAGCGTTGGCTCGTCACGCAGAAGACCCGGGTTCGATTCCCCACATGGGCACAATGTGTTAAGCCCATTTCTGGTGTTCCCCGCCGTGATATTGCTGGAATATTGCTAAAAGCGGCGTAAAACTAAACTCAGTCAGTCAGTCTAAAGGGCACAATAGCATTTTGCTTGAGATATTTATTATTTTCATTTCCATTTATATTCTCTTCTGTATTTAATTCTTATTTCTCTCCTAGGAATTCATACTCATGCCGTGATATATTTGGGATAGTGCTCAGTGGCGGATCCAGAGGGGGGGTTCGAACCCCTCCCCACTTTTAAAAATGACTAAATACCACATTGAAGTTAATGTTTTGCAATGGCGGAGCCAAGGTTCCCTCTGAATCCAACCCCAACCCCATCCCTTTTTGAAAATTTCTGGATCCGCCTATGGTGCTAGAAGCGACGGAAAACCACTTTCCAACTCCCGTATCTGTACAGGGGACAGGAAGTCCCAGCATTATATCCGAGACGCCATTATCTAGTAGACGGTTCCAGAATGCGTCATTTGTGGCCGCATGACCCTATTTCCATCAAAGTACTATAAATGACTGCTTCAATACAACTTTTTACCACGGAAAGTGTTACCGACACAATAAACAAATCCGATAAACATGGCATCATCATCAATATGCAAATGAGATGACCTAGCAAGAACTACTTTGAATAAACTGCCAACACCAAGGAGATGTTTGCACGCTTGAATAATCACTATAACGGTCAAATATATTAGAGTTTGCTTTTGTGTGTGTGTTTATGTATTTTGACAATGAAATATAAATGAGCGCTCCATACAAACACAATTCTTACACGCAACAATATTTCAAAAGTAACTAAACTGAATTTGTTTCTGTTTTTTTCGTTTGGTTTTTCGTCGTCGCCATCGGCACATTTTAGCTATATGGTTGTCTGTAGATAATCGAATCTGGGCCAGACAATCCAGTGACTGACATCATGAGCATCAATCTACGGTATGACATATATCTACGTCAGCGAGCCTTACACTTGCAAATGTATTTCTCCAAACATATACAAACGTTACCAAAACGTTACTGGGCCGAAAACAATGACCGAAACACTACAATCTCAGCTTCAAACACAAGTATGATACATGCATTAAAAACACCACCGTCGACCAACATTTCCGTCTGTCTCGCGTTTAGCAGCCATGAAACATGAATGTAAACTTCCACTCATAAAAATGACGTATTAGGTTTCACACAGGCTCGCATTGTAGAGCTGTTATTCCAAGAATATGATGTTATACTAGTATATCAGAAATAAAAATGATATATAATGTTCGAAGATATTTACGATGAGGTAGCGCACTATAATATTTACATAATCTCAATTTCATATGAGGTTTACAAAAGCAGGAAGTGTATTTATGGCTACGCTTCTTTTGTATTGATGCTTTTAGACTGACTGACTGAGTTTTGTTTTACGCCGCTTTTAGCAACATTCCAGCTACATCACGGCGGGGGACACCAGAAAAGGGCTTTACACATTGTACCCATGTAGGGATTCGAACCCGGGTCTTCGGCGTGACGAGCCAACGCTTTAACCACTAGGCAACAAGATTGTCGGACACGATGGTACTCACAGACATTAGTAAATGGCACCGTCGTTAGAATGTACCTTCATCTTATATCATCATTGCACTTCGGGAATGGAACTGGAATACGATTTGATTGGATTGGATGTACGGTGTGCTGTCCGACTCTACTGTGACGTGTTCCTGTCTACTAGTCATTTCTGGTGTCCCCCGCCGTGATAGTGCTGGAATATTGCTAAAAGCGGCGTAAAACCATACTCACTCACTGAATCCTCACTGGGGGAAAGCAAGGTGCGTAAACTCAAAAGTATAAAGGGGGCGCCTTAAGATATGTCGGTACAAGTTGGTAACTTTAAAGCTGAAGGTGGCGATCTGCAGATGTCGACCAGTATCCCAGCAACGTCGTACGGGGTCGCGACTTCCACCACAACGAAGCCAGTAGTGTTGTGGTAGTTGCCACACAGTTCCCATCTCGCACCTGAGGGACGTGACGCCTTCACACTTTGTTTTGATCAAATCACGTGATCCACGTGGCGTCCCCGTGCCGTCGCTAGGTTACCAGATGGAAGCGAATAGGTTAGTGTTATAATCCGCACACATTTTGTTAATAATCTAATGCATGTCTATTGATTAAGTCATGTTATGATCATGGGTTATGCATCGTCCGATCACCATCATCAACCGACAAAATGCAACTTGACCTGCATCACGGGTGATGCTTTGCGTTTGATGCTCTGCGAAGAATGTAATCATTCCTAAACTGGATTATTTAAGGACTGGTGCCATTGTAGGTACCGCTGTCGCATCTACTGACATCACAGCTATTCCCGTTAGTGACATCCCCACTATCCCAACCACTGACATCGCCATTATCCCTGCTCCCTATTTCACCGCTAAAACGGCTAGTGACATCAATACTATCTCCAATATAGCCTACACTACTATCCACACTACTGACGTCACACTATCCCACCACTGACATCACCACTATCGCGCTACTAACATCACCACAATCCCCGCTACTAATATCACCACTATCCCCGCTACTAACATCACCACTATCCCCGCTACTAACATCACCACTATCCCCACCACTGATATCACCACTATCCCCGCTGACATCAACACTATCCCCGCTACTAACATCACCACTATCCTACCCCTGACATCACCACTATCCCCGCTGACAACAATGGGACGGTGCCTAGTGGTAAAAGCGTTGGCTCGCTGCGCTGAAGGCTCGGGTTCGATTGCCCGACGTGATATCCCTGCTTTTCAATGCTTTTCGTAACGCAGCGGTCAATCAAACAGTGGACGTGGACTGAGGATAGGTAACTTCAGCTAATACACGTTGGGGAGGAACATCTTGTTTCTGGTATAAATCATGTATGGTAACTGCCCCTAACGACATCAAACCTATACCTGCCTTTCCCCACCCCTCGGATCAATAACCGGTATAATAATCACCATATCTGTTGTTCTGGTGCACGCTTCTGTTTTCATTCGATCACGTCCAGTCACTGGTCATCGGTCGAAATGACCACAAGGTAATTACTTCTTCGCACTGCAGCATGTTTATGGGTGTAATCGATCGTAACGCCTGTTGGCAAGGGCAGTGTCAATTCAATAGCGTCCCCTCAGAGCTGACCAAATGACCATGATCGATTTGTCAAATCTGCTGTGATATCTACAGAAAGCATGAAATTGCATTTTATACTACTGATCATATTTTGGGGGGCTTTTCGTAGTTAAGACTGAGCTCATCAAATCATCCCATTTGTCTGTTTGTTTATCTATTTTTGGAAGGGGTCCTTAACGTTTTTGGTTAAGTATATAGGTACTGTAAATTCAGGATGTTGTACGTTATTCCAGCCTTTTAATAAATGGGGCGGTGGGGTAGCCTAGTGGTTAAAGCGTTCGCTCGTCACGCCGAAGACCCGGTTCGAATCCCCACATGGGTACAATGTGTGAAGCCCATTTCTGGTGTCCCCCGACGTGATATTGCTGGAATATTGCTAAAAGCGGCGTAAAACTATACTCCCTCACTCACTTTAATATTGTACACAGTTGGATTGAACTGATTGATAGTTATAAGGAAGACTGTTCTGGGTTTTTATTTTAAACAGTTCACGTCAAATCCACTCTCAACAATGATTATAGCTACGACGGCTAATAAAAGGTCAAAAGTTCAAAAAGACAACATTGATGAAAGATTAGGGTCGGGATGTACATAACACTCACATATACTCAGAGTAAAAAATAATTATTACTCAGGCTTTTTGTCTCGCTGATGATATGGACATGAAACGTTATTAATACCACTGTCTGCCTGTATTCCACGACGGCGGGTATAACACGTTATTAAATCACAGCCTTGTATACCGTAACGTGACAGTGGATATAAGACGTTATTAGCATCACGGCCCTGGATACCCTGACGGTGGATATAAGACGTTATTTAAAAGACAGCTCTTTATATCCTGACGGTGCACATAACGTTATTAGACTGACGGCTCTACCTCGATCGTAAACAAAACATATTAGAATTACGGCGATGTGTATCCTAGCGGTTGATATATCTAAAATGTTATTAAATCACGTTGCTGTATGTTATGTACTAAGGGTGGATATAACACGTTATTAGCTTCATGGTATTGCACACACTGACGGTGGATATAACACGTTATTAGCTTCATGGTATTGCACACACTGACGGTGGATATAACACGTTATTAGCTTCATGGTATTGCACACATTGACGGTGGATATAACACGTTATTAGCTTCATGGTATTGCACACACTGACGGTGGATATAACACGTTATTAGCTTCATGGTATTGCACACACTGACGGTGGATATAACACGTTATTAGCTTCATGGTATTGCACACACGGTGGATATAACACGTTATTACGGTGGATATATAACACGTTATTAGCTTCATGGTATTGCACACACTGACGGTGGATATAACACGTTATTAGCTTCATGGTATTGCACACACTGACGGTGGATATAACACGTTATTAGCTTCATGGTATTGCACACATTGACGGTGGATATAACACGTTATTAGCTTCATAGTATTGCACACACTGACGGTGGATATAACACGTTATTAGCTTCATGGTATTGCACACACTGACGGTGGATATAACACGTTATTAGCTTCATGGTATTGCACACACTGACGGTGGATATAACACGTTATTAGCTTCATTGCACACACTGACGGTGGATATAACACGTTATTAGACGGTGCACACACTGACGGTGGATATAACACGTTATTAGCTTCATGGTATTGCACACACTGACGGTGGATATAACACGTTATTAGCTTCATGGTATTGCACACATTGACGGTGGATATAACACGTTATCAGACACTGACGGTGGATATAACACGTTATTAGCTTCATGGTATTGCACACACTGACGGTGGATATAACACGTTATTAGCTTCATGGTATTGCACACACTGACGGTGGATATAACACGTTATTAGCTTCATGGTATTGCACACATTGACGGTGGATATAACACGTTATCAGAACCACGGCGATGTATATCCTGACGGTGGATATAACACGTTATTAGCTTCATGGTATTGCACACATTGACGGTGGATATAACACGTTATTAGCTTCATGGTATTGCACACATTGACGGTGGATATAACACGTTATCAGAACCACGGCGATGTATATCCTGACGGTGGATATAACACGTTTTCAGAACCACAACTTGACGGTGGATATAGCACGGTGGATATAACACGTTATCAGAACCACGGCGATGTATATCCTGACGGTGGATATAACACGTTATCAGAATGACGACGGTGGATATATCATTAGAACCACGGATATCCTGACAGTGGATATAACACGTTATTAGAATCACCGCTGCTTATATCCTGACGGTAAATGTAACATGTTATTAGAATGATGTCTGTTTATATTCTGACGGTAAATATAACGTTATTATAATCACGGCTGTTTATATCCTGGCGGTGGATATAATACGTTAATAGAATGATGTCTCTTTATATCCTGACGGTAAATATAACATGTTATTAGAATCACTGACGGTAGATTTCAGGTCCACCTGTAAGCTTGTTTGAATCACGACCCACCTGCATGCCTTGACGGCTGACAGAACGCACGATATGAAGAACAAGCCTCCAAGGATTCCTGCAAACACTGTTCCCGGCAAATATACCGTCATCTTAGGCCTTGCGCGCGCACGTCACTCCCAAAGCTCATGCGTCTTGCCAGTTGCGCAAAGCCTTTAAGTTTTCTCCGTAACTTGGGTATGCATGTATTTAGCATGATGTCCAGGGGGAGGTAACTCCTGTTCCATTATTTCGGGATCCACGGTATTTTCCTGAAATGGAATGAGAAAATTAATACATAGATGCTTCAGACAAACAGATTAAAAGCATTTCAGTTAAGGAATAGCTACCTGTACATAATAATATCAAGGCCACTTATATTGCACTGAACATGGTGGACATTGTTACCCCGGATAACCCGAGCTGCCTGTGAGGCGCTAGAATGTTAATAGTCATATAACTTATCCCACCGGGTACCCATTTACTGCTGAACAGAGGCAGTTTTAAACAGATTCATTTGCGGTGGTGTAGTCGATCCTGCAGCATCCCATCCAGTGATCAATAGTATGAGTAGATGTATACGCATGACGTATAATCACACTCCGTTTACCCAGCTCATAATTGTGTTATTCTACCTCAATGTCATCCAGTGCAACAAAGGGACAGAACATGGCGCCGAGAACAATGATAATGCAACGTGATGAGAACATCCATTCATCGTATTTCGGTTGCCTACCTTTCTTGAAATTATGTACACAGACACTCTTAAACCCGTCGGCTAAGACATCATCGCCGCTCCGTTAATCCTTTGGTATTTTAGTTTCATATTTATCCATCCACGGTAATTACATGTTTGCTGTGGGTTAAATCCAAGTACCACTAGCGTCACGCAGCCACTTTGTGCTCAGACCATTCTTCTGGCAAGGTTATCTCAGGAAACACTAATCACGCTCACGCATGCGCACGATCCAGACGTATGACGTAACAACCAGATGACCAGTTCACCGCTATAACTGGAGAGAAGTAATCACCAGCTCACCATTTTAACACGGAGTTAAGTAACACACTCAACTGACCGTTGTTTTATCCTCACTAATCTACATTACGGTAATCAGCATTTCCTGACGGCGAAAACCGCACCTACCAACCCAGCATCCTGCCGTCGACATCCACGCCGCTGTAATGACGGAGACGTGAGCCTCCCAGCCAGAGCAACAACACAGCCCTGCCAGAACCCTGGCTGGTCTGCGATACGGCCAGTAGTAATTGCTAATAATGATAATTGATGTATACGGCTACCTCCGCTCCCTTCAACATGGCGGACTGCTGGACGTATTTCCAGAGCTGTTTCATTTTCCGAAGCTCTGATTAACTAACCAGTTCTTAATCAGACTTTCCCGGATGAAGCTACCCAATTACCACGTTCAGTATTAATTATATAAAACGCGAATTATTAGTATCGAGTCCGATTTGTAAAATTACTTCGCGAAGGCAACAGAACTCTTGGAATACCATAGATCGGGTCATTATTATAAAACGTATTATTTTTTCACGCCATGCCTGCACGAGGCGACGTTAATTGAGCGTTTGCACTAACATGATATTTGGTGGCAAAAACGCTGTTCGTCTTAATTCTTAAATTACTTTCTATGTGCCTTGGCATGTTCTGGGATGTTCTCCAGTGATTCGGTAATGCTGCGGAAACCATGTGCCGTCATTTGTTTATCATATATTATCTGCATCCATTACTTGAAGGATGAAACCCGTGACGATCCGGGTTAGAATTGGTCTTCGGCAACCCATGCTTGTCGTAGGAGGCGTCTAACGGGTGGCCAGGTTCTCTGGCTTGGATGGAACATGTCATCGTATCCCGGTTTCGTAGATCGATGCTCATGCTGTTGATCACTGGATCGTCTGGTCTTATGACTCGATTATTTACAGACCGCCGCCTTATAGCTGGAACATAGCCGGAACATTGCTGAGTGCGGCGTTAAACAGCAAAGAAACTGTTTGTGGATTATTCCAGGTATTTCAGAAAAGATGAGAGTATCACCAAGATGGCACAGGCACAAACACTCGCATGGGCACGGCAATATTGCGCGACATAATGAGACGGTTGAAGTCATTCCTGTTGTCATTTTGTATTGAGGATAGTGTATTGTGGCTCTCAGTTAGTCTGCAAAACAGATGAAGAGGTTACACTGGTCGCTTTTATCTCTAGCTCAGATTGGTAAATCAGTAGAAAGGATTTGTCTATTGAACCGTTGCTGAGAGATATCGGATCACCGATATACCTGAAGCTTTGGTTAAACTTCTTGGCTAAGTTCCCTTGTTTTGGATTTGCAGACTCCATCAATGACAACGTCGGCTGCAATAAGATCCTAACCACCCACACACCCACCCCCGACAACAAACCACAACCCATTATTCAGAAAACCGTACTTTCCCTATTAGACATCTATTCTCGCGGCTCCCGATTCACTCCGGACCGTACGCACTGTCTCAAAAACAGAAGCAGGCCTCTGTTAGACGCAGGATCATTTGATGTAATTAAAAATCCTTATGATTCTTGCTTAATACATTTAATGATTACTTCCTTCGCCATTCCTTCAAATGTAAATTTTGCATGGTGATGGAATACACACCGGGGCAACAGCTTCTAATAAATACCGGGCGTCTCAAAGAGGTGAGGTGAGGTGAAATTGGGTTTAACGTAGTGCTTGAGAATATTTCGCTCATATGACGACGTGCATGCGTGTGTATGTGTATGTGCGGCTGCTTGTACTAGCCCAGACTTAAGCTGGTGTTATAGTACTAGCCCACTGAGATACCACGCCGCAGTGAAGCATGAATACCCCACTCAGACACATTATACTGACTCCGAGCCGACCAGTCCTTGTTGTACCAATTAATGCCGAGCGCCAGGCAGGGACCAACAAGTACCATATTTTAACGTCTTTTGGTATGACGCGAGTCGGGGATCGAACCCGCGACCTTCCGCTCTCCGGGCGGACGCTCTAACCACTACACCACGGAGGCGGTCGCGTCTCAAAGAGACAACATGGTAAATATATGTAGTCCGGGGTTTTATCCCACGTTAAGCTGGCATGCCGTGGTATAACTGGAATACTATTCAAAGCGTCGTCATCCGAACTCTTTCACTCACCATGTACCAATTGTCGTGAAACACAGTGATGGACTATATAGACTAGACAAACTATATAGACTATACAGACTAGACAAACTATATAGACTAGACAAATCTCGCTATGTAATCTGCAGTGTGGTCGAGACAATAGCCAAACAATACTCCTGACGTAATGCAATCCAGTTTGATCGTCTAGGCAACCATCATGATTCCAACACAAACAGATAGATTCTGTTGACTACACATTGGCGTCTGACGCACTGGATTTAGCCATTTATCAAATATAAAAGAACACTGGTCAACAAAACATTATAACCATCAGGACAGTTTGGGAAGGAGATCAAAGTGAGATGTGCGAGTTTATATGGATCCGCATCTACATTGATAACACTCTTGTCTCGTGGTCAGATGAACAGTCACGTGGCACCAGAGTGACGAGACATCGGTATACACAGAGATGCTGACATCCGATGAATCAAATACACTGATTGACTTTCTGAGTAGAATCAACACTTACATCACGTGTTGAGTAACCCGGATGTCACAACGCTGAAACAGTGGCTGTGATCAGGTGGCAGCCTATGGAAACCCACTAGGGGTGTTATTATTAATATTGAACATAAGACAAAAGGCCTGACCCCAGCGGGCTTCCGTAGCAGCATCACCTTCTCAGTGGCACCAAGTGCGAGGTGAATCGGTAATGTGGGAATCATTGGAATCTGTTGATTCCTGAAGCAAAAGAAACGAGATATCGAACATGTTCGAGCTATTTCTCCCACTTACACCATCTTATGGTTGATACCTGTGAAGATCCGGGTTAAAATTGATCTTCAGTAGCCCACGCTTGTCGTAAGAGACGACTAACGGGATCGGGTGGTCAGGCTCGCTGACTTGGTTGACACACGTCATCATATCCCAATTGCGTAGATCGATGCTCATACTGTTGATCACTGGATTGTCTGTTCCAGACTCGATTATGAAAAAATTACAGACCGCCGCCATATAGCTGGAATATTGCTTAGTGCGGCGTAAAACTAAATTCACTCACTCACTCACTCTTATGGTTGAGATATATTTTCTCTCTTACTCTGCACAATGGTATAGTTGTAAGTTTTACTTGTTTGAATGTACGTTCAGAAGGACCAGTGAATTCCTGGTTCAATGTACTGTAACATTGTGATGTCAGCAAAATTGTTAAAACTGGAGAAACCTCACATGAATCACAAATGTTAGTAAAACGACTGATGTCTAAGCGTCAGTGACTTTGGTGATAGAGACAGATAGAACAGTCCACAGCCTGGATCGATTATTATTATATGATACTTATATAGAGCACATATCCAGGCAACTAGTGCTTGCTCAAGGCGCTGGTAGTCGATTATCTTGGGAGACGAACCATATCTCCGGCTGAGTTCGTGTTTTTTTAAAAAGAGGGATGGAAGACTTAAGCACACCGATTCATTTCAGAGTCGAAGGTATTTAGGGATGGAAGACTTAAGCACACCGATTGATTTCAGAGAGGCGAAGATCTTCAGTAATGGAAGACTTAAGCACACCGATTGATTTCAGAGTCGAAGATATTTAGGTATGGAAGTCTTAAGCACACCGATTGATGTCAGAGTCGAAGATATTTAGGGATGGAAGACTTAAGCACACCGATTGATTTCAGAGAGGCGAAGATCTTCAGGGATGGAAGTCTTAAGCACACCGATTGATTTCAGAGTCGAAGGTATTTAGGGATGGAAGACTTAAGCACACCGATTGATTTCAGAGAGGCGAAGATCTTCAGGGATGGAAGTCTTAAGCACACCGATTGATTTCAGAGTCGAAGGTATTTAGGGATGGAAGACTTAAGCACACCGATTGATTTCAGAGGGTCGAAGATCTTCAGTAATGGAAGACTTAAGCACACCGATTGATTTCAGAGTCGAAGGTATTTAGGGATGGAAGACTTAAGCACACCGATTGATTTCAGAGAGTCGAAGATCTTTAGGTATGGAAGACTTAAGCACACCGATTGATTTCAGAGAGTCGAAGATCTTCAGGGATGGAAGACTTAAGCACACTGATTGATTTCAGAGAGTCTCTGATTGTCAGTGATGGAACACCTCTGTAGTCCTACGG